CATTAGTATAATTCTGATGAATAAAAAAATATATATATTAGTATTTTACAAGCTAAATGTTTAATTATATATAACTAAATTTTATAATAAATTATATATATAAATAAATATTAGACATAGAAATATAAATTATATTTAAAATTTGTATAAAAAATTACTTTACACATATAAACTATATATCTGATTTAAGATAAAAAATTTATATTGTGATATAAGATTATTTTTAATTATTGGGTATTTAATTTTGAAAAATTAAATTTTAATTTTTAAATAAAATATGATAAATAAAAAAAATTGATTTAGTTATGAAATTAAAAGAAATTTTAATAACACTTTTATCAAAGAATAATTTTTACAAACACTCTCACGCATGATAGCTATACACGTTTAGTATATAAGGATTCATGTTGATAATTTATTTTTAAATATTAATTTTAATTTATAAATAAATATGATAAATAAAATTTAAGTTGGATAAAAATTTAAAAGAACTTAAAGATGCTCTTATCGAAAAATATCCCTTAAAAATACTCTCGCGTAAGACAATAATTTATGTTTAATAAATAGGACTTGATTTAAATATTTAAAATTTTATAATGAATTTAATATATGAAATAACATTGAAGACTTGAAGTTTAGAGATAAATATTTTATGAAAATATATTTTGACAGAAAAATATAACTAACACATGAAACTAAATTTTAAAGAAAATATATTTTTTTTAGAAGATATTTAATGTTTTGATTGATAAATTTTGACAAAAATATTATTTACTTAATGAAGTCTTTTTTTTATTCACAAGAATTACAATAATTACAATATGTTTATTGTAACAATCCGTTAAGTTACCACATTATACATAATACAATTTAGTTATTCGCATAGAAGAAAATAAAATAACTACCTCAGGTTAACATGCTAACATTTATTGGAAGATACATGTAATAATATATATATATATATATATAAAATATGTTGTATGTATGTATTTATAAGGATAAATGCATCTATACTACGAATATCATTATGTAAACCACACAACACAACATCGCATTAATTGCTTTCAACTTAGCAACACAACAATAACACTTCAACATGACATTCCACAACCTTAAAAAGGTAAACAACTTAACCACATCACAATAATAATCAACTTATACCACAACCATATTATTCAACAACAAATTCACACACCATATGAACAACACCATTATCAACACATCATATGCATAACAGCTCAACTACATGTCAACATGCATTCAACTAAAATATCTCTTACAACGAAGGTAAGCAATTTAAGTGACTTGACCCTACCAAACTAATAACAACATAATTTATTTACACTTGTTAGATCAACAACCAAATTGGATAAAATTCACAACAACATGGGTGTGAGTCTACCACAATGTTAGCATGAATAACTAAGCCTTCTATAACATTAGTATGTTAATTATCCTCCAAATATTGCGTTTCTTCTAGTACTTAATTAGGGATTTTGACTCCTGACCTTATACCTTACTCGATTTGGTCACTTTATACTCGTAAGACTTGACATGCCCCCCATTCAGATAAACATTGGTTGCTTATAATCAATATAGCTTGACTTGTTCACTATACTATGGTCACTTATAATGGTATGCCTCAACCTTGCTAACATACCACATCAACTAAGATCCTAAATGAGACTCAATTATTCACTTCAAAAGCCAACTACTCAAGAAGAATTTTTAACAACTGGACTTGTAGAGCACCAAACCAATATCCTCACAATGGGATATCCAACTTTTTAAAACACCATCCTCTAGTTCTAAGTCAATCAACACCTTATACCTTAATGCCTTAAGCATTCTCAGCATCATCACCTCAACATTGCAACGACATAATCATCGATGTATATTATCCTAGATCAATGTATAACGAACTAGCAACATATATCATCATACAACATATGAGATATCCATCCACCATCTACACATTCACCATTTTATCAAACAAACAACATAATTTCATAAGACAACACACGCTTGACGCCATTCTCCTCACGTTAGGCATCATTGAGGTAGATAGCTCTCAGGCTCGTCCAAGCTTGACACCACTCTACTTGCGCCTAACGTGAATGAGGCAGATAGCCCATGTGATAATCACATCTAGTGTGACTAAAACCACACCCGACTCCATTTCAAGCAAAGAGCCTCTTCCTAAATCACGTCTAGCTTCACTAAATTGGTGCCTAGTATTGTCTAGGAAGATAGCTTCTGTCTTGACCACGTTGGGTGCCACTTAACCTGGGTCCAACGTCATCAAGTTAGGGAACTTCTCAAGCAATCATGCCCAACACCTCTCATTTTCACGTTCGACGTGACTAAGTCAGAGAATTTTTTTCTCATCCATGCTTGATGTACCAATCTCATGCCCAATGTGATTAGAGTAGAGAGTCCTTGATTTAAGCCACGCCTAGTGCCATGAAAGCACGTCCAATGTTATGATGATTTTCGCATAAAATAGTCACAAATTTGGCCCATAAACTAAAAAATCCAACATGTAAGGCGCCAACTTATTCCTACACATTATTAATAACTCAAATCCAACCAAAAAACCCATATGCAACAACAAATCATGCATTTCATCTTAAACATACCATAAGGACACCGAAACCCTCACCCTCCACATTCAAATCTTAAAATCACCAACACAATCGTGGATTTACAAACCAAAACAACATATATACAACATCCTAAATTACTAATGTTTGGTTTTAATTTCCCTTACCTCAAGATCAACAAGAATCAGAGGAAAAAAAGGAAGAATAAGATGGGTTTCAAGCTAATTCTAGGAAGCTTTTTACCACATAACACCCACTTCGATTCTCAACTTCAACAACCTTAAATGACTAACCTGTTGCTCACTATGATCTTCTACACACTCAGGAAGGCTAGAATTTTTTTTTTAGAATTCTATAATTTCTCTTTCTACTATCTCTCTAAGATTTTTTTAAGAATAAACTTATGAAATTCAAATTTTTAAAAAAATCTTATATATCTTCCCCTTTAGGTTAAAATAGACCTTTGCTTAAAGAAACTTTTAAATACCTAAAACTTACGTGAATTCTTAAATTCTCACAATTCTCAACCAATAAACAATAATATCACAATAACATATAATTCAACAAAATCAACAATAATTAATAAAAATTCAAAACTTGTGACCATGTTTATAATTAATGAAAATTTGAATGAGAAATACAAATTAAAACATTTTTTTTTGGTACATAAGGAAGTTAAAGAAAGAAAACAACAAAGTAAAGGAAAGAAAGAAAAGAAACAAAAACAAACCACGAAACCCCAAACATGCAAGATTACGTGATGGATAGATTGTCTAGCACTAGGAGATCAAGTACGTTATTGGGTGGTATATCCTAGTTCTCATCCCAGTCAATCTTCGTTGTATTCCAACTAGCAAGTCTATCTACAACCTTATTGGCATCTCTGTTTATGTGAACTATGGTGATGATCCAGCTTTTCCTCAAGAGAATACGAATATCTTGAATGATTTCACAGTGTTTATGACGGTGGCTATTGTCATCCTTCCTTAAGGAGAGCACTTCAGTCACTTCCAAGCAGTCTGATTCACAAATAATATACTTCCAACCCTTCTCTCAACATCTAGAAAGACCAATCTTGATAGCAAGTAGCTCAGCTAAAATATGGACTCCCTTCCCAACTATTTTAAAAAACCCATAAAGCCATCTTCTAGTACAGTCACGAACAGCCCCACCAATACTCATCCTACCATTCGATGCATTAAAACTGCCATCCACATTCAATTTCAAAAATTGATTCTTAAGAGGGGTCAGGGAAGGTGATTAAAATCGTGTTGCAACATTTTATTCAAGCAAGGGAGCTCCGCAAGTGAATGATAAAGTAAAAGAAATTTGAATAACAAAATCTATTAATTTTAAAATAAATATACTTAACTGAATCGAGAATTAAAATCACATTGACCAAAAGTATAATTAATTTTTTTTAATAGAGCTCAATAAAAATAATAATTAGTGAGAATGATTTTATACAGTTAGCTGATGGAAAATTCTAATTGATATATTTTTTTATAAAGTAGATATCATAAAAATAAAGTTATCATATATCGAATGCATTATTCATTATTTCAAGAACTCATTTAAAAAGAAATTATTCAATTTTTTTATTATAATATACTTTGTTCTTGATATAGTTATCAAAATAAGATATTATAAAAGTAAATAAATTGATTAAATTAATTATCTAAACAACTCATTTAAAAAATTTGTTGAACTTTTTAATTATAATAGTATACATTATTCAAAAGCAGAAAAAAACTGACTGATAAATTTTTTTCTTTTTACAACCTATAATAAAAAGCAGAAAAACTTTATCAATATAATCCTCAGAAGATTCTGTTACCGAAAATCTACGGTTTAGATACGGCAGATCCCACAAACGGCAGTCAGCAAATGTTATACCCAAAAGAAAAAAAGAAACAAAATTGCAAAATATTTTAAAAAAATAAATAAAAACAGGGTTCTGGGTTTTGCAAAAAAAAAAAACAGAGTACTTATTTGTTATTATTATTATATATATATCATCCAAAAAGGGAAGAATAGAAAATGAAATTGGAAAAAAATCCCTAAAATAACAGCGTCAAGAAATACGGTAGTCCAACGTTTTTACTGATTGAAGAAATTGAGGGTGCGAAATCCGCTGCTGAAACTGAAAACAATCTACTCTCTTCGTTCTATATAAATAAGGAGATGTTA